CCCTTTCTTGTAAAATAAATAAAGGTTGTAGGTAAGTTTTACATGTTGACCCCCAAATTTCTACACAGTACATCAGGTCTGGTGCAATTATAGAATTATATAATGCTGCACTATTTAATGAGAATTTAACTTTATGCAGAACAGCAATGGCTTTGGAAATTTTGCCTTTTGCCTTTTTATATGAGACAAACTCCAGTTTAGACCTTCATCAATCATAACTCCTAAAAATGTGGTTTCATTTACTCTTTGAATCTGTATCCATCTCTTTCTAATGTTATGTTGTCTTTTTTCTTTTTATCATTAAATAAAATGAAATTTGTTTTTGTTTTTTTAACATTGAGAATCAATCCATTTAAATCAAACCAGTATTTTACTTTTTTTTAAAGCTCTTTGTTAACTTTACTTGTAACCTCTTTTATGTCTTTTCCAGAGTAAAATGTCTAGTTTTGATACTAGTTTCAGTATTTTAGATATTTTTGACAAGCCTAATGAGTTCAAAAAAGATTAAATCATTCCAAGTAACACCACCTGCATGTGACGTCACCAAGGTAAAGTTATTGTCATTGTGTTTCAGAGATTTGGTTTAATGCAAGATATTTGGTTTTCCACAGAGCACAATCCTTTCTAAAACTTCATTTGAAATAAACATAAATCAAAACAAATTAAATTAAGTTAGATTAAAACAACTATAACTACTGTATTTTCTGCACTATTGGGAGCACTCTTAAGGCTCAAAAAATGACCACACAATCCAGAGCGCCCCATACACGAATCCCCTCAGGTGTCCCAGCACGACTTCAGTAAACTACAAAGCCGCACCACCCACAGAACATGCAAACACACACCTAGCAGACAGCGACCACACAGTGAAACACACCCACAGACACACTCATCACTCCACGCCGACGAGGAACAGAACGGAGGAACGAACCAAAAAAGTGAGTGCAATGTGCCACTTCTAGACACAACTGAACAACTGAGTCACTGCGAACACGCCGACAATCCGTTGGTCCCAGACACACCCTCCCTACACGCCACAACTGAACAAAGCCCAGAGTCACCGTGAACGAACAAACAAACAAAACCACTCACCCATCACACTGTTGGGTTTCATTTAAAGTCCCACGTGGTTTATTTGTGAAAAAAGTTCAAATATAGACCATCTAATGACAGTGCGCCTTATAATCCAGAGCGCCTATAGAGCAGAAAATACAGTATACAACTCCTATTTCACCTCGTTCCCGCTCAGCCTCAGATCTTTTGACATGTGACTTCAGTCTGAATGGCCAAGACGCATTCATCCACCTACACGTTATCAACAAGCCACAAATGTACACAAACATTCTTCTCATCATACAAAAATTGTTAATTAACTCCATGTCACTGAAGTGAAGCGCATCACTCTCCCACCACTCTTGGCTCCATCTCCACATCCACACGTTCCTTTCAGTGGACTGTCCCACAAAACACCACGGCCAAAAACCTCATCCTTCTCCTTCTCAATCTCCTCCTTAAAACAAGTAAGTTGTTCATGTTCTGGCTCCGGTACGAGAGGAACTTTAAAATCTCTAGGTGCTCGATGCTGCGTCCATGTTTGGACAACTTCCATAAACACAGAGACGCTCGCTGCGGTTGACGTCATCGTGTCTCCAGTGCACATGCGGGACACTTTTGGCCCATTTAATGTTCACACTGAAGATCACATACAAGTCGCATTTAACTGGAAATGTGAACAATCTCGCAAAAACATCAGATTTAAATTTAAAAAAATCTGAATTGGGCATTAAACCCTGCAGTCTGAACGTAGCCAAAGTGCTCTTCTACTTGTTCTCATACGGCTCAACATCGTTCTAAAGCTTCATCTCTGTCCTCTCTGTGGGACTTTATAGTATTGATAGTCTCTAGTTTTGATACTAGTTTTAGTCAGTGAACATGGTTTCTTCTGGAGGTTTGATGTTGCTTCAGCGTTTGTTTGTGCTCAGACCTACAGCCAGCGTAAAGCAAAAACAACAAATCTAAGTCACTGTTCCACACCTTAAATATTACACAAAAATATATATGACTCGAACAAGAAGAGACATGTCCACACTGCCCACATCCTGAGACTATGGACTGTTTACCACCGAAAACAAAAGATGAAAAATGAGAATCTACTATGAGAAAATGAAAAAAGGTCAAAAGAGAGGAAAGAAAATATGAAGGATAAAAAAACACAGTGAAGCAGTGAAAACATGAGATCAGAGAACAGCACAAACGCAGGACAAAAGCTCTTCAGTGTCTGGTTTGGACTTGTCTTTAGTCTACTTCTGCTTTTATTGTGACCAAATACAAGTCACGGTCTGTGGACTGGCACATCCAGACTGATTTCTCATTAAATTAAATGTGTTTATTTCACGTACACACGTGAAACAAAGGAGCTCATTGGTTGGAGAATTTTTAGCACTTCTCTCATTGATTCTGCAGAAATCCACAATGTTTGTCAGTCCACTGTGATATTTTTTTCCTCCCTTTTTTCTTCTTGTTGATACAGACAAACCCTACACGTCATGCTGAAGTTCAGGCAAGAGGCTCTTAGCAAAAGCACACATTTTGACTACATTCAGACTCCAGGGCTGAATGCTCAATTCAGATTTTTTTGTGAAATCCGATTTTTTTGCGAGCTCGTTCACATTTCCAATTAAATGTGACTTGTATGTGATCTCCAGTGTGAACATTAAACGCCCCAAAAGTGTCATGCATGTGCACTGGAGGACATGATGATGTCACACACAGCGAGCGTCTCTGTGTTTATGGAAGTCACCCAAACGCTGAGCTTGTCTCCCAAAATCTGGTCCAGTTGTTGGTAAAATGGACATGTTACACGTCCACTGCCACTTCGTTTGTTTGAGTCTTTAGCCTCCTTGTATTTGACTGGCAGGCTCTTTATTATTCGTTGACATTTGAGTCAAGGCGCCTGTAGCGGTTCTGATAAGACCTCTCCAATTTGTCCTGAACACAGCGATCCCCTCACATATTAATAAACTCTCTAACTTCACTTTCCCTCCATTGACGAGACTCTGAGCCTGACGTGTAGGTGGGATGAATGTCACCTGACCGTTCAGACTGAAGTCCATCCATCCATTTTCTTCCGCTTATCTGGAGCCGGGTCGCAGGGGCAGCAGTCTAAGCAGGGACTCCCAGACTTCCTTCACCCCCCGACACGTCCTCCAGCTCCTCCGGGGGGACCCCAAGGCGTTCCCAGGCCAGCCCAGAGACATAGTCCCTCCAGCGTGTCCTGGGTCTTCCCCGGGGCCTCCTCCGGTGGGACATGCCCGGAACACCTCCCGAGGGAGGCGTCCTGGAGGCATCCGGAACAGATACCCAAACCACCTTAACTGACTCCTCTCGACGTGGAGGCGCATTGGCTCTACTCCGAGCTCCTCACCCTATCTCTACGGGAGCACCCAGCCACCCTGCGGAAGAAACTCATTTCGACCACTCACTGACTGAAGACTTCAGACTGAGGTCGCATGTCAAAAGATCAGATATGTATCGGTTGTAGGAGCACATATCCAAGTGTCCTGGGTCACATTGGAAAAAATCAGATCTGTGTCATTGAAAGATCAGATACAGGAGCATAAGGGTGAAAAAAAATCTGATTTGGGTCACTTCAGGCTGCAGTCTGAACATAGCCATTGAAAGTATCTAAATATTTATAAAAACTGAACCTTGTCAAAAATGAAATATTATAGTATTTTCACTATGACCCATTAATATTAAAAGTATGTTAACAAACTATTGACCTTATAGTGGACCTGGTGTTTACACACAAAACACTCCCTGTCCCTGCTCTCCCTGATTTACATAATGTCCTCTTCCTCTGCACAGGTGCATTATGGGACTGTCCCCTCTGCACAGGTGCATTATGGGACTGTCCCCTCTGCACAGGTGCATTATGGGACTGTCCCCTCTGCACAGGTGCATTATGGGACTGTCGCCCATGCAGTGTGGGAGGTGAGTCATTGTTTAGTGCCACAGACCAGGTCCTGCCGGTGCAGTATTGTGGTGTTATTATTAGAGCAGTGGTGGTGTAGACAGTGGGAGGAGCTGTAACCTGTCCAACCTCATGTTTGAGGTCAGGATTTAAACACTGTGTTCAGAGCCTCATTAAGAATAATTAACATGAAGAGCTTTTACATCACTCTTTTGTCTAGGAATCTTTTCACATCACAAGTTAAGGGCATTGTTGAGGCTGACTGATTCTGACTGGCATTTCTGCAGATCTATTCTTTATTTAATAGTTTTTACAGCTGTCATAGAGTCAAGTACAGGTCTGGAAATAATATACTTTGTTGTAACCTTGTCAATAAGATCATTTCTGTCGAATTTTGTGAGTTCACAAACTCTTGAGAATCTGACATGTTCAAGTCCAGCTTGTTTACTTGTGATAGATCTTCAGACTGACCAATCACAGAGCAGTATTGTGGGTTGTGCAGAACTCAGCACTGAACAAACCAAAACTTACTTCAGCCTATTTTATTGGAAATACAGACTTTTTTTGAAACATGCAGAGGGAAAGGTGGAGGGAAAGACGCCTGTGCTTTTCTCTCTCAAGTGCGTCTGACAAAATCTTGATTTCTGCTTGTCAAACTGTCAACATGAAGTTTTTGTTTGGACACTGTGATCATTGGTTTAATAGTTTTCAGTGAGAGTCGTCCCAGATTCATGAGTAGAAATCTATTCAGACTGCACACAGATGACTCTGGAGAAAGACAGCTTCACTTTGTTCTGCATTTATGATACACATTGGTCTTATATCAGACAATAAGTGTCCTGCCCAAAGACACAGTATCAGGAGATCACTGGTGACAAGCCTGAGTTAAGAAAACTGAATATTCATGAGACAAATGTTTGAACTTGTCTGTTTTAGGTTAAATCCCGGACTGGCCAGTTAAGACTACAGACCTGTACCATGCAGGTCAGAGAGACAGGTGCTGACAGGTGTACTGGGCGGGGCTTACCTGACAGGTGAGCAGGTGCTTCTCCAGAGCCTCCATGTTTTTCCCATCAGCCCCGGCGGTCCCCAGGCTGCAGTGAGCCGTGTGCAGCCAGCGCTCCAGCTCAGACACTCGCTCCAGGATGACATGAAGAGCAGGGTCCGAGGGAGGAGGAGGAGAGGGCAGAGGGACAGAGGGAGAGGGGAGAAGGAGTGAGGGAGAGGAGGAGAGGAGAGGAGAGGAGGAGGGAGAGAGGAGAGGGAGAGGAGAGAGGGAGAGGGGAGGAGGAGAGGAGGAGGGCAGAGGGAGAGAGGGAGAGGGCTGGTCAGAGCGAGGATCGTCTGGGGCCTGGAGAGAAGAGAACCATTCAAATGTGTAAACTGATGTTTAAATTTGCATTAATTCACTCTACACTCGATTATACAGATAATATTGTAGCCAGAGCTGCCCTGGGACAAACTGACAGAAGTGAGGTCTCCAATCTGCTCCATCACCGTACTTTCATAAAGTGTGGCTGAAGTGTTTTGCATAAGAACACAACAACAGTTTTTCACCTCTGCTGTCCACACGTGACATATTCACATGTTCAGGAATCATCTCCTGACTCCTGAGCAGAGCCCAGACCTGCTGAGCTTCTCCAGTCTGACCACAGACTGTAGAAACAAGTGTGACATCACACAGTGTTCAGCTCCAGTCAAATGAAGCTCATCGAGGCTGCAGTTATAGGAGCAAATTTGGAGCAGAGATCCACATTAAGAAAAAGGAATTTATTTACGGGCAAAATAGTGAAATACAAACCCCCAGAATTCTGTAGAATGTGATAATATGAACATTTTAAGACCAAAATGACGAGGCTCACTGCAGCAACAGAGAGAGGAAACAGTTTTACAATGTAAAGTCAACTGGAGCCAGAGTCGATGGAGCTGGAAGCGCAGCCATGCTCACTTCCTGTTTGGATCGCAGCAGCTAGCGGGTTAGTTATGTCCATGTGCACACAGAGTGTGTGGATGAGCTGAGGCTTGGACTGGAGGTGTGTTCATGTTGTTTTGGTTCGTAGTGTGTCGTGGGCAGATCTTTCACTGGAGCCACTGATGCAAATCAGCTGAAGTTCGTTTAACTTGAGTTTGCAGAGAACACGTCACATGCTCTGACATGATATTGGATTTGAACATCTGTCTGATGTTTCCTCATGTCAACAGACACACACATGCTAAAGTGAACAGGTCAGTGTGGGAGCATCAGGGCACAGACGCCGGAGCTTCTCAAGTTCCTGTTGTAGATCTGAAAATGGTTTTATGAAGAGTGAGTCATGACCAGTGACGTGTGACGTGTGTGTTTATCTGACAGAGATATTAGCTGCTGGCAACTATCTTTTTAATTAGTCATCTGACCATTTCCTCTGCACACAAAGATTTATTAATACATTTTTATCCAGACAAAAGTCAAACGTTGTATTGGATCAAGGCCATTGAGTGTGAATAATGCCTCTGTTTTTGTCCTCTGGCGTGTGCTTTAGGGATGGTCCAGAAAATGATTAACAGATTATTTTTATTGTTACTAGATCAGGTCTGTAGAGATTATGAGTCCAATTTATGACCCGTCCAATTTGACTTTATTTGCAGCACATTTTAAAAGCAAAAGTGCAGTGAAGTCTTCAAAAACTTGTTAGTTTAACTTTTCTATTAATTTACAAAAAGGCTGTTGCCTTGTCTCCACTCTGAAATGAGACAAAAATTTCATTCATTCATTAAATATTGATCGAGTCACAGTGGTGCAAACAGCTTCAATTGAAACTAATAATAAAAATGATTCAAGAGGCAACAAGTCCACAAACCACAAACAACTTTGCACCACAAGAAAATACAAGTGAACAGGTCCAGATTCTGATCTGTGATCAGGTTTCCTCATCACAAACACCTGCAGTTGTGTTTTGTTTCATATTTAGGAGATTTTCTCTCAAACAGAAAAAACACTGTGATGTCATGTGGTAATACAGGAAGTGCTCCACCGTGTTTTTAAAACTCCACACAGGAAAAACTGAAGGGTTAAAATATGAAGGTAAAATATTTCAGAGTTTTTTATTTTATTTTTTAATACAAATTAAAAAAAATAAATAAAAAGTGTTATTTTAAGTTAAATGGGGGTTGGAGTTGGGCTTATTTGCCAGAGTTGATGTGGTTGAAGTTAATTCAAGTTCCCCAAGTGTTAATTCAACTTCCCTTAGTCAATTAGAGTTAATTCGGCTGCTCCCACCACTATTTCAAACTCCCACGAGAGAAAACCAGTTTCACCCAGTTTTATACATAATTCTTAAATAAATCTTAAATAAACTAAAATATGGAGTAAAAATAAAACACCTCTGTGTGTTGTTCAGCTAAATCATAATAACTCTACAAAGTGTTACCTGTTTACTCTCAAAACATGAATAGAACTCTCGATTTTGGGGTTAAACAGGAACTTTCCAAAAATGTTAAATTAACTCTAGAACAGATTGAACTCATATAAACCCTGAGAAAATGTTCAAATTGATTCTGCGAGAGTCAATTTTAACACTCCATTTTTTCCTGTGCAAACACCTTCACTAAAATCATGTGGATAACTTCAGCCCTTTAACTGCAAATCTCTACCGAACTAAAGCTAAAAGGAGTTGTTCACTTGAAAACTACCACTACATGACATCACACGGTGGAACAGGGCATTTTGAGCTTTCACGATGTACACAGACTAATAAGAGAGTTACTGAAACATGTGTGAATGAAACTAAACACAAGTCCAGGTGTGTTTTTGAGGAGGTAACGGCATCATAAGACGACTTAAAGCTCACAAAAGTCAATTTATCTTAACACTGGACCTTTAAGAATGATAAAGTTTAACTGGAAAAGCGCGAGGCAATGAATGAAACGACTGCTGCTTGTAACTTCAGTCAGTGAGCAGAACTGGAAACTCACAGAGGCAGGACAAGCTGAGGCTGAACGTGACTAAAAAAACATGACAGGATTCTCTAAACAAAAAGCAAACTAATAATACAACTTTCAAACAATGAAGGAGGTAAAATAGCTGCTAAGTTTGAAAGAAGAGCTGTGAGAGTTGGAGCTGAGACTGCAGTCCAAAGCAAAGATCTGTCTGATTAAATACGTTGTGTCACTCACCAGCTTCAGTAAGTCTTAACCTCTGCACAGAATAGTCCATAAAGTCCATGAAAACTTTCCTATCCTCCGCTATGCTCCAGTTTTTCCCCCTTTTCTCTGTTCCAGTCTTCCCTGTCTGCTCCCTCGCTCTCTCTCTCTCTCTCTTCTTTCTTTCAGTGTGTCTGTGTGCAGAGATAAGCTCCGCCCCTCCTCTTTCCTGAGCAGGTGACTTCCTGTTTGCCTGCAGGTGGATCAGGTGAAACGCAGGTGAAAAAGAAACTGGGCAGGTAAAGAGCGAGAGGAGGGAGGAGGGAGGGAGGAGAGATATGGAAAGAAAGAGAGAGGGAGGAGAAATAGACAGAGAGATAGAAAGAGGAAAATGGGAATTGAGAAGAGAGAGGGTGAAAAAGAAACAGTTTGAAAGGTTAAAGACCGATAGGGAGGGGAGGAAAGAAACAGACAGTAACTTTCAAACTATTTATAATACAACAGACTTATTCTATGATATTTCAGCTAAAAAAGTTTTATAAAATTAGGGGTGTCAAATTATCGCTTTAATTACAGTCATATTTAGCGTGTTATGTTTTTTAATCGCATTAATCTCATTTAGAATCTCTAACTTTACTGTTTCTGTGCGCGAGTTGTCTTATTATAAAATGTGTTTTTAAGTGTTGTTGGGACACATCGCTCCCACAAACAATTGTAATTCTCATTCCCGCATCTGTGATAAACCTGCACATGTTTGATCTCTGAAAACATCGCGACACACAAGGAACAGACTCACCTTCAGCATCAACACCCCTCTGTCACAGAAAGAACACTCATATTCCACTGAGTCGTGTCTTTTAGTCTGACAGAAGCTGAACCACATCAGCCACAAGAACTGTTTTTTTTTTTTTTCTCGCTAAGTTTTGTTTCTGTGAGACTTGTGCAAAGCTGCATAAAACACATTCTAATGTCAAACGGGCTGATGTGGCTCTAGAGTGGTGATGTTTATATGTTGTAAAGTTGAGTTTTGGTGCTGTCTTTCTACCGGTGGAGGCAGGACGACAACACCATCTATAGTCCCACTTCAGGACAGAATCCCAGGTGTGTGAGAGTAAAATCCAGGCAATCGTAATACAGAAACATACCCACGGGACTATAAACCGGGACAAAGGGCTTTTTTACTCTCACACACCTGGGATTCTGTCCTGAGCGACATGTCACAGCGACATCACGAGACTCTGAGGAAGAGCACAGGGAGCAGAACAAACTGTCAGGGATGAAAACAAACCCTTGGTCTGAATAAAGAACATAATAACATAACTATCAGAAGACCAAATGAACCTCATTGGACTAAGATTTTTATTTTTAAGACTTCAACAATATCAAATTTCTGTTCTGAATACTTAAAAACATAATTCACAATCAATTAGAGTACAGTATAATTAGAAGAAACTAATTGCCATGGACAATAACAAATTATTGGAACATAATAGGAAATGAAATATTTATTTCTTTATTTATTATTGCTATAGTTTACTTCTTGTTCTTTATTTTAATATGGTTTGAGTCTTTTGCTGAGTTACCTTTTTTCGGTTTTTAATTTGTGTTTTTTATGTTTTTTTTTGTTTTTTTTTTGTTATATTATTATTATTATTGGTGGTGTTTAGTTGTGTGTGGATCCTGACCTCCTTGGGATTTGTCAGTAATAAAAAAAGAAGAAAGAAGGAAGAGAGGAGGGAAGGAGGGAGGAATAAAAAGACTTAAAGGGTGAAAGAGAGAGGAAAATTGAAAATCCACAAAGGAGTGAGATGTGACAAACAGACAATTCAAAAGGTTAAAGGTTAAACATTAAGCAAAATATATTCTTGTGCTCTTTAAGTCATGTTGTTTCCTCATCAAAAACAAACCTGGAGTTGTGTTTTGTTTGTTTGTTTCATTCACATGTTTGAGTTACACTTTATTATTTGTCTGTCTACATCTCCAAAGCTCAAAATGTTCTGCTCCACCTTCTGACATCCCGCAGTGGTTGTTTTCAAGTTAACAGCTCCTTTTTTACCTTTTTTTCAATATAAATATATCCAGATCATTCTAATTAAAGTGTATGGAGTTTAAAAACACAGTGGAGCACTTCCTGTGTTTTCAGTTTGAGAGAAAAACGCCACTAAATGTGCGGAGTTTGTGTGTTAAACATGTGAATCAAACAAAACACAACTCCAGGTCTGTTTGTGATGAGGAAACGACAGCATAATACAGATCAGAAAATAGTGTAATACAGATATTTTTTTTTAAAGTTGAGAAAGAGAAAAAGAGGGGGCGAGAGAGGGAAATAAAGAGGGAAAGAACAGAGGGAACGATATATTACAAAACGAGATATTGATTGCGCAAGTCAAATTTTATTTTAAAAAGTTGGACGGTTAAATAAAGAGGAAGAAGGAGAGGAGAGAGAGACTTGTGGTTTAATCTGTCAATCATTCTCTGGTCTGGTTTAAATAACAGGAGTGGACAGCAGCTTTTGTGCTTCGGTGATTTATGATGATCATTCTACTCCAATGTTTTCTACTCAGTTGAACATTGTGTGGTTTTGTGGTCAATACAGTGAACTGTAAAGCAGTGCCCCTGGTCTAAGGATGGAGATATTAAATCATAACACAACAGAGTAAAGTGTTCAGAACAAGAGCAGTAAAAACGCACTGAAATAAACATAAAACAAAATGAATGAAACAGCATGATCAGGTTCATATAACTAATACACTAAAGGTCCACTACGTAACATTTCTGGTGGAGGCTCTACCATGTTTCCACCTCCACATTAAACCTATCCATTTCTATCAGGACCTGTTACATCAGACGTCAGATCTGCGGAGAGGCGAGACCAGATGTTTTTCAAAGTGTATTTAAACACTAAAAGTAGTTGTAGTAAAAATAATAAAATGTAGAAATAAATGCAACATAGATAACTTTAACGCCATGTGCTGCATCATCTCCATGGCGACAAGCTGGCAGCAGACTGTTCACCGGAAAAGCTACAGAGTGCACCTTTATATTTTGGCATGTATCTGCATGTATCGTTTAGTCATCAGGACAGGGTAAATGTCACTGTACTTCCTTCTATCTAAAGCAGAGGAGTCCAAACTTTTTTCATCAAGGGCCACACATGGGCCTGGTCAAGCAGAAGTAAACATCAAGGCCAAAAATTCAAGTTAATGCATCTGATATAAAAATGTATTGAACAGATACATATGTACTCTAGTTTATGAAACTGTTGACCTTTTTTCTGTACCATTTTTGGTTCTAAAGTTCCATATGTTTTAAACAGACCATGTATGAAACATGGAACAAAAATTATTTCCCAAATTTCAAAGACCTGAAAATCATGTCAAATAAATGGATGTATTTCATCATATCTTGTGTTATTCCATCTTTGAACTGTTGATGAAGGTACATGGATTTAAAAAAAAAAAATGTATTTAAAATGATAAAAATTTGCTTGGAAGGACTGACATATTTTATAGAAATAGTTTCCTTTCATTTTGAAGTAATATTAAAGTTTTCAGAAGAAAAAAGTTGACAAATGATGTAAAATCCTGCACCTTCTACTTGTTTGCACAATTTTCCCTCCGTTACTTTTCCCTCCGTTACCATGACCTTTCTTAATAAAAAAATCTCATGAGTCAAAAAGTAAGAGGTTTTTCAACCTAATCTTGTACCATATGGTAGAAAACTATATGAAGCAAATATTCAAACCAGTTTGTTAAGGATATGGAAGTGAGAACCAAGAGTTATCACTGTTTGGATTTATTGCCCAAAAAGTGCTGCATATTTCATTCCCTCTGTTACCGACATGAGTTTTTAAATTTTTTGTCAACAACTTGAAAGAATATCACAGGTTTAACTTGACCCTGTTGGAGTGTAACTCTTTCCTACATTCTGATACTTTACTTATTTCAATAGTTCCTCTAGTTTCTGAATAAGAGACATTTGAATGTCAAAAATCTGCCTGTTTCCCTCCGTTACCACTTGACCAGACCCATATCTAAACAAACCTAAACAAAGGCGAAACAGAGGGCCGATCGAGGGTTGTAAACTGGTGCTCAATACAGTGAATCATTGAAATATGTGCATGTTTATCACATTAGAATTAGACATCAGTCTTTATTCACGCTTAAAATCCTTAAAACCACACACTAAATATTCAATATCGGCTTTATCAAGGTAGTAAAAAGTTTGTTTATAATTGATGCAAGGTAATTTGGGCCAATTCACCTGGAAGCCTGAGGGCTAAAAAAAATTTGTCTGAGGGCCGCATTTAGCCCACGGGCCATAATTTGGGCATGTCTGATCTAAAGCATTGTTTCCCAAAGACTGAGTCGCGGCCCTCAAGTGCGTCACAAGAGATTTTTTTTGGGTTGCCTTGTCCCGATCTGCATGTAGATCTGTGATGTACAGTTCTGAATCAGTGAATCAGTGAATATTTCTCGTCATTCTGGATCAGGATTTCATCAGAATGTCCTGTCGTCAGTACGGTTGGTATTTCTCTGATTATTCCTTTCACTACTACATATATTTGTGTGAATTGTGATTTTCTTTTTTTTTTTCTTCAGTTTTAATGAAAAGGTAAACAACACCTAACACAAAACAGCGAACTTGACATAGAGAGAAAACAAATTTGACAGACTGCATCCTATGTTTTTATTTTACATTTAAATTTAAACACTGTTACGGCACATCCTGTCCAGCGTATGAGTCCCATTTAGTCCAAAGTTTGTCAAAGAGGTCCATTTTCAAATTAAGTCCAAATGTAATTTTTTCCATTTTTTAAATTTTATCTATAATTTCCGATCAGTCTTTGATTGATGGTGCAGTTTGTGTCATCCATTTTTTTTATAATAGCCTTTTTTCCTGCCACCAGAAGTATGCTCCAGAGATATCCACTGATTGTGTCCGTGGCAGGGAATTGTGATTTTCTGTGCTCACAAAAATGAAGACAAAACACAGAAACAGAAATGGACTGAACACACTACAAAAACACACACAGGCCCAACTATCACACTAGAAATGTTCAAATGTTAAGACATGTTTTGTATCATTTCTAATCTTTTTATGTATTATTTTATTATTTATAACTATTATTTTTTTTTGACTTTTTTTCTAATATTGCTGGTTCAGTTGAATGACGAGGAGAAAAATCAGTTTGTCGACTGGACAAAAGTTAGTTTTCAACCAAATTCAACCAGTTCAACAAAACTAACTTTTGTCCTGTTGACAAACATGGATTCTACCTGGACGACTGAGGGATTCTTCACACGGTTCAATTGAATGTTGAAAAGAAAAAGAAATGTTCTATATTTAATGTCCAAATAGTCGACTTCTGGATCCTTTTATTACTGCTTCAGTGACTGTTATTCATTGTTTCTAATAAATACTAATTGTTCAGAGACACAATCACTCAGTCAACAATAAAATATCCTCATGAATGTTCAATAATGCTCAAATCCACCTTTATTTTGTGATTTATGAATAATGTCTGTTGACTTGGGTCGCAAAGGTTTGTGACTTTTAAAATACGGGTCCCCAGAAAAAAAAAAAGTTTGGGAAACACTAATCTAAGGGTTTCAGAACACTGTAAACCCAAACTTTCAAAGTAATTAAACAGATTAAGTTGTGTTTACTCAAAGTTTAGAAATAGTCTTACTAACTTAATTATGTGAAGCTGCTGTAACATGTTCTTGTTTTTGAGTAATTTTAACTCATTTTTCTAAATTAAAGGCAACTATAATGGCTATAAGTGAGCATAACTTAAAAACATAAATGAGGTACAACTTAGTAGAATTAAGTAGTTAAAATATAATATGTAATGTGTGTATAATGTACTGTGTGTATACTATAATATGTAATGTATGTAAGTGTGTATGTTTTATTAAACTAATAGGGGGCCATGTGTTTAGATACAGCCGGATATACTGGATAGTGTGTACAATGTGTGTACAAAAAAAATCAAGAATTACATATAAAACTGAAAATTAATTAAATTATTCCAGTCATATGTATTAAATGTATCAAAATCTAATTGATTTAGCAGGGGTCATTTTACTCTCTTTTGTGATCTATAATGTTGTTTCCTCATTAAAAAAAAAAAAAAAAAAGACTTTGAGTTGTGTTTTGTTTCATTCACATCTTTCACATGGGGGGGGGCTGGGTTCAGATCCCCCTCCTATGTTGTGTATAATGTGTGTATCCCATGATGTGTCTATATGTAAACTATAAAGTGTGTAGATATCGCCGGACATACTGGATTGTAACTGGTAACTTACCCGGGTTTATAGTGAATGATAAATAATAGGGCTGTAGCCACGGCAATTGACAATTTAAATCAAAACGTTGCATCTTTTTTGAATTGTTTAAAGTCCTCAAAATGTCAGGAATAACAGGAAGCAAAGGAAATCTATGAATAAAAAGCTTCAACTGAATCAAACATACTGTGCAATAACTTAAAAGTATTAATCAAAACTCAGCAGGTTAATGTTAAAGAACAGTTTATTGAAAATACAAAAGTCAAGAAGCACCAAAGCAAAGCACACAGCATTACATCATCATTATTATTATTCCTATTATCATTATTATCATTATTATTATTATTATTATTATTATTGATCATTATTCATATTAATAAGACCAAGGCTCAAATTTAGCTTAAGATTTCACACTGCACAGACAGACACAGGCTAGTTTATAATACATATGAAACAGGATCACATTCAGTTCATGCAAAACAATATAGAATCACCCTCACCCTTCACTTTAGCTCATTTCATATCATATTTTGTACTTTTTTATGTAAACAACAGCATAGGAAACACTGGAGAGGTTAAATATTTGGTTATATTTAAATGTACAAATGTTATGTTCATTGTGAAAAAATTAAATAAAAATTGGACATATGCAGCATTTGAATTTGAGTATTTTGTTTTCATGATTTTGTGGTGTTATTGGGTTTTGGCTCATTGTACGTGCAAAATTATTCTATATAAAGGCACTCAACGGGATTTCCAGTATGATCAAATTATTCTGATTTGATTTTAAAGACAGAAGAATCCTTTGCTTGTTTTGTTTTGTAATTAAAAAGACAATAGCTAATCGACTATTTTGCGGTAAAACACCCTGGCTGACAAAATTAAAAGAAAATTAAAAAATAACTTTGTAAACAGTTTAAATGATGACTAATTTAACCCAAAACGAACCAAAAAGAAGCTAAATAGATTTCAGGTTTAACATTGGAATAATATATGTTTGCAGGGAGCTTTAAGGAAATAAAGATTGAAAAAAAATAAAATAAAATAAAAGTTGCAAAATTTTAGGGCCCAATTTGTGAAGTAGAACAGTTATAACATGGGCCTTAGATATTCAGAAAGTTCTCATGAATTTTACGTAAGAAGTAGTCATATTTTGTAAGAGTAAGGCAAAATTTGTGAATTAAAAATAGTTGCATGAATGATCTTGAGCAGAGATTCTCAAATGGTGATTGGGATCTGAAATTAATTAATCGCATTTGACCAATAAAACCTTATAGTTAACGTCATCTTTTCAGATTTGACATTTTCAAAACATTTTCTAGTTTTGTCATTTTGGTGAATTTATAATTTTACTTCCTATTTGGGCAGCAGATGTGACATGTACAGGCGTGTTACCTAGCAACCGTAATGTAAACAAAGGGACAAATTACACAATAGTTATGATCTGACTCATAATCCCAACAAATCAAGTCAAAACGCACTTTAAAATATAACTGTATCGTTGATTTTACTGATTATGACAAAATTGTGATCTGCATTTTCAAAATCTCGATTCTTAAACATTTCTATAGAATAATAGTTTTAAAATGAGTATATATTTGGGATAAAGTGGAATCCAAGCATCAGCAGACACCATTTCTCAAGACGATTCATTCATTCGTTTGTGATTTTGCCTTGTAAACATCTAAAAGGACATTGCAGTAGTTCACCGTAGTATTTCTATATATTATTCTCAACATGTACAAGTCTTAATCTGTTGTTTAAGACTGTTTTTTTCCAAATATATATATTAGTCGTCTCTATATATCAACATTATATTCGTCATGGTCATGCAAAGTAAACATAAATTATAGTCTTTGCAGGAGGCTTAAACTGTCACAGGTTCAAAATACTGACATTCAAAAGGCATTCATTCATCTGTCGAGTACGTCGGTTTACACTGTTGACTGTAAAGAATCATGATTTTTATTTAAATATTCAAACAGTTATAGTTTTTTATAAGAATTACTTGAAAAAGTAGTTTGCAAAGGGTCGTAAATTATAATCTGTTAAAAATTTGCGCTTTTTCTCACAAGGATTTGCGATTTATGTTTTAAGAAGAGCGTTGCATTTCAGAAACTGTTTGTAGAGCTCTAAACTACAGTGTTAGCAGCTTTTCTATAAGATTTGATAACAAAAATCTGATAACTTTACAGACAACAGTGTAAATATCTTCGGCAACATTAAAGATAGTGCAAAATAGAGTCCGTAGGTATTGAAAGTAGCGCCTCTAGTGGTGGTTTGTGGTGGTTTTTAGGCCTAGGACAATACGCAGCGGCCGGATTTGGAGGAGGCCGCGCCGGGAGAGGGCGGTACCGGGCTCTCCTCTCCGGTGGACGGGGCGGGAATCGAACCAGCATCCTCGGGTTCAGCCTCCTACAGAGATGGGATTAGGATTAGAGGGTTAAACAGTCCAAAACCACGGCAACGACATTCACTTAGTTCAAATGATGAGGTACAGTTAATGCAAAGAAGGACGGACCTGACGCTTTATAATAACTAAACCTTAAAGGGTTCATGTTACGCTCTGTTCTGATCTATGTTCTAATGCTGTTTCCTCATCACAAACAGACCTGAAGTTGTGTTTTGTTTCATTCACATTTTAACACACAAACCCTGCATATTTAGGCTGAGTTTTTCTCTCAAACTGAAAACACTCTGCTCCACCTTGTGATGTCATGTGGTAATACGAGAAGTGCTCCACTGTGTTTTGAACTCCGCCTTCACTAGAATCATTTGGATCATTTCAGCTCTGGAATTGCCAGTTTACAGAACTAAAAGTAAATGGAGCTGTTCACATGAAAACTACCACTTCATGACATCACATGGTGGAACAGAGAATTTTGAGCTTTGGAGATGTAGACATGTAGACTAATAATGCAGAGTTACTTAAAGGTTGTATGGAGGATTTTTTTTTGTTTCAAATTGTCAATGAAAGCGTTATAGAGATGCAGCAGCCTTGATTGTGAAAATCCATCAACTGTGGACGTGATGGGGCCAGATAAACATCAGCCAACAGATAAAGAGGCTGCCTCGTTTCCTATTGGCTGTCAGGTTGTCAATCAAACTCCCTACATTTCTAGCATAAATGAGTCGCCGGTGCGCTGGGATTATGTGGTTTACATTCACCTCTCACGCATTTCCACAGACACGAGACGCAGTTTACTCGACCAACGCAGTGGTTTTTAGCGTTTTTTTTTAACTGTAGCTTCCTCGTAGTTCATACAAAGTTTGTTGCGACGGCAGACGAGAATCCACGACCAGTTCACCGCAAAAAAAAGTACGTTGTTTTTGAGGTCGCTGAAAGAAGAAGAGAAGGGGAAAAGGAGCAAAGCCAAACTAAGGTGATTCTTGGAGATTCCTTCCAGCGATGGTGCGAATGAAGCAAACGAAGGGTCTAAAGACTAAAGACGCGTCGGTCAATAAATGACTTCTGGACAGGAAACTTCAACAGCGATTCTGAACGTGCACCGGCTGTAAACAAGCGTGAATTCTAGCGTAAGGAAGGAGACGGGAGGAGATGTTTCTACATAAGAAGCTGCAGAATCACTGTATTTCTCTTGGAAAATCTTTGATACAACCTTTAAACGTGTGAATGAAACAAAACACAACTCCAGGTTTGTTTTTAAGGAGGTAAAAACATTATAACATGACTTAAAGGTGCATTGTGTAACTTTTCTGGTGGAAAGTCCGTCAAAGGTTTTTCTCCATGAAGATGTTATTGTTTTCTCTAGATTGTTTCACAGTGTGGCATTAAATAGGGCTGAATGATTTTAAGAAAAATGTAATCATGATTTTCTGGCAGATATTTTGGGATTTTGATTTCATCCACGATTTATTTCAAATCAAGTTTCAGTGCACATGAACATTTGCACACATCACAAAAACTTACATCATACCAGAATCCTGCACCGACGCTTTCATGCTGGACCGTAAAGCCCAGTTTATGCAAACAATAAGAGCTGTGATTGGTCCTCTCTAACACCGCTCTACATACATTTCCTGTACTCCATTTTTTTTTCTATGTTTAATGCAGCTAATGCACATTTGTTCATGTTTTACAGAAACAAAGTTTAAAACCGCATGGCTGATTTGCATAAACTATAAGCACTGAAAAAAACAGCTCTTTCCTTGTGCTGCTGATGTGGTTCAGCTTCTAAAGGACACGACTCAGTGGAATATGAGTGTTCTTTCTGTGACAGATGATGTGCTGATGATGGTGAGTCTGTTCTGTGTTTCTATCACATTGGACATGGTTCATGTTAAACTTTCCACGAACACCAGTTTTAAATCCTCGCCTCCTAGAGTTGTGGTGGTGAATTACTTCGCAGCGCATAGACCTCGATGGAGACCCATAAATCAAAAACGACTGCGACAAGGTGACGGTGGCAGTGTGTATTGAGTTGATGCAGAACTAAACTTCGAGGAGTACTGCAAAAAAAACTAAAACGTGGCTTTGACGCTCCCAAAATCGTGTTGTCTGAAATTGCAATTTTCTGTCCAAAACGATAGATCGTTCAGCCCTTGTATTAAACCTTTCTATCCTCATGGAGACTAAACCAGACCAAGTTACAGGTCAGATCTGTGGAGAGACGACCCCATCACAGTCAGAATGTCTGTTTTTCAAGGTATTTTTTGCTATAAAACCACCTGTAATTGAACAAATGTAAGGTAGAGCTGTTTAATGTCACACTGTGGAACATTCCAGGCAGAGCAATGACATCTCCGCAGAAACAAGCAAGAGACGGACCCGTAAATAAAAAAGTTAAATAGTGCACCTTTAAAGCTCACGAGAGTCAATTTAGCGTAATATGACCTTTAATTAGCCTTAATGAAGCAGGAACAAAGATCTAATTCACAATGAACACATAGTTTATTAAGAATGATTCAGGTTTAGTAACTCAGAGTAATAAAAGGTGAGATCAGGTTAGCAGCCATTAATGTACATGTATCGTCAAAATGAGGCCGCCGTGTAACTGTCCACTGCACCTAGAAAGCGTCTTATTGTCTGATAATCGGGAAGTGCGCGTTAAAATGCTAGTTGTTGTTAGCTTTACCCTTACGCCAAATCAGCTGCAGCGCATTAAAGTAGTTACTAAGTCTGAATCATTCTTTTAAAAAACAGCAGTTTGTTCATTCTGAGTTGAGTTTTTGCTCATGCGTTAAGGCTAATTACAGTTAGTTATTATAAAGGGTTATCATGATTGTTATGGAGGAAAAGGGAGGAAGATCCACATGAGATGGTTTAGACTGGGTCATATGGCACATGTCAACATCATTTAGTAACAGATTTTCAAATTTTCTTTATACAATTGCATACTTTGTTTATATCTTTTCTGATGGAGGGCTTGCTTCTGTGTTTTGCCAAAAATATGACACAGTATGGCATTAAACTTATCAAACTCCATGGAGACAAGCAGGTGAGTTATAATCTGAACTGAGGTGATCCAGATTACAGTAAGAATACGAGTTTTTTTGAGCAATAAAAACACCTGTAATTGAATAAATAAAAAGGCTCAGACATCTCCATGGAGACAGAGGCGGACCCTCCACCAGAAAAGTTACACAGTGCACCTTTAACTGCACATCTGTGGTAGATTGCAATTTTCAAACAAATGTTATAGTTTCTGTTTTTTGTTAATTTATTTGTTTATTTGCACAAAATAGATATATACCAATAAAACTATGAAATTACTATTTTAAATTCTAAATTGAGGCTTGAACAATCGCTGTTAGCTCCAAAGTTACATGATTGTGAAGGTAAATGTCAAATGTAACATATATATGCTCAGAATAAATGAAAGTGAAAGGACTTTAAAAACATGAAAGAGCACAACTGGATGATCTCAAAATGACATCACAAGGTGGAACAGAGATGGATCACCATATTTTCCGCACTATAGGGCACACTTAAAAGCCTTTAATTTCATCCAAAATGACCAGGTGTCTTGGGGTGTCTTAGTACGACTTTAGTAAACTCCAAAGCCGCTCCACTTGCAGCGTTACGGCTCCCATAGTCAGGAGCATCAGGAGTAATACAGACTGTGATTCCTTTTAATATCAAAATGCACCTGTCAAGAGACACGCTCACAACGCCCACTTTAAACTCAAGACTGTTCTAAAGTGAAAGTGTGAGCTGCGTGGGAGCAGTGGATGAGAGAAGAAACACACATTCACCAAGACAGAGAGACAGCGCCGAGCCACTTACACCACGATCTGCCAACGGATCGTGGACGCCAAGGATCAGTATCAACTGTGGTCCAAGCTTTCACCAAGACCAGAATCATCACTGAACTGAACTCCAGGGAACAGTAACCACACTGACTCGGATAATGACCAGAGGGATGTGGACGTGTGGACGCCAGAATCACCCAACTGTTTCAACTATTATGACTTATTGTGAATACGAGAACAATTTAGCATCTCAGACAGTATTTTTTTTTACGCGTTACAATTGAACAAAGTTGAGAGTTATTGAGAACATGTTAAATAAAGTTTGACTTATTGAACTGTTGTGTTTCGTTTAATTTGCCTTATAGTCCGGTGCGGTTTATATGTGACAAAAGTTCCAAAAGACCATTCAATGAGTGCGCCTTATAATCCAGAGCGTCCTATAGTGCGGAAAATACGGTAAATGTGTGAATCAATGAAAACAAACTCCGGGTATGTTTTTGGTGAGGAAACCACAATACAACATGATCTGATTTTCAACTTGGGACCATTAAAAGCAAAAAGTCTCCATAGGCCTGTCACGATAAAGACAATACTGACTTAACGTAAATATATGAAAGCTGGAACTACATTTTTTTTGGTGGTCAGTATTTATCATGTGTACATTTTCTTTGCACTACTGGGTCTTTTTTTTTTTTTTTTTGGCTATATCATAAGATTGGAGCCATAAAAAGTTGATTTAAAGGTGCACTGTGTAACTTTTCTGGTGGAGGGTCATTCAAATGCTTTTCTCTATGTAGATGTTATTGCTTTGTCTGGAATGTTTCACAATAAGACATTAAACCTTTATATCCTCATGCAGACCAAACCAGGTACAGGTCAGATCTGTGGAGAGGCGAACCCGCTCACAGTCTGTTTTTCTAGGTATTTTTGAGCTATGAAACCACCTGTAACTGAATAAATGTAAAGTAGAGCTGTATATTATTGTCATACTGTGGAACATTCCAGGTAGAGTAATGACATAACCATAGAAACCAGCAGGTGACAGACCTCCAACCACAAAGTTACACAGTGTACCTTTAATAATGTCTGTTTGTCTATTTGTTTCATTTCACTTCAGGTATTTATGTATTGCAGCTCGTGCTCGCTGCTTTTTTTTTAACAATATAGTATACTTAGAATTTGTCCTTTAAACTGGCTTTTGGGTTTTTGTGCAAGTAGCATAAATTAATTTAAATATTATAATTTTTCATCTATATTTACTTAATCAATATACTGTGATATACTATTACTATATATTTTGTTTTAACTTTTTTTTACTTTACTTGTACATATATGTTTATATAATTACCATATTTTCAGAGTATAAGTGGCACTTTTTTCATGATTTGGGTGTTTCCTGCAACAATACTGAGGTGTGACTTATATATTAAAATGTTCACACTGAAGCGGTGAGAGGTTCTAGTCTTGTGTGTGAGTATCTGCTGCTCCTGTTCCTCCTGTACCACTGTCACTTCACTCTACTGCACATGTCTCCTGCAGAAAGAGCCTCTGTCCTGTCTGTATCATGTCAGTCGATCGCACCATTATGTCTGCACCACTGAAAATGTAAGATTAAAACCATCCTGTCGGGATTCAGAAAGACCAGAATAATTCTAACTGGAACTGATGCTGAGTCTGACGACAGCGACACAGAAGAGGAAGTGACTCTCTGTTTACCTCTGGAAGTTGAGACAGACCTGTTCAGAAGTGACACCGAGGATGAAGAATTGAATGGATTTAGTGATTTGGAGTGAGATGGAGAGTTTGGTAAACTTGTTCTGTTCTGTTGTTTATGTTATAGTTTATCTGAAGAACTGTTCATATGTGACGTTAACAGTCTGTTGTTCTCTCTTCTGTTGTTATTATTAGAACTTGTCTTTCAACAGGAAATGTTGGTTCCTGGTCCATGATTTTATCAAATAAATTTCCCCAAAAAAGTGCAACTTATAGTCCGGTGCTACTTTGTATTTTTTGGCGGGTGCGACTTATACTCCGGAGCGACTTATAGTCCGAAATAGTCCAGTATGCCTTATTTGACACCAGTTTCTTGCTATTTTTGCTAGTTATTCTGAGTTTATTATTACCATTTATATTTGATCTCTTTGCTATTATAATATTGTGATGTGTGAGCTACTGTGAGTTTGTCTAAATCTAATATCGCACTTCAAAATGTGTTATCGTGACAGGCCTAAACATACATCATAAGAATATAAGTACGGCTGTGTTTTTACCTTTTCCTCTTCAGTTTGTGGTACATCAGGTGGGACTTCTTCAGCGATTCGGACCTCTGGCTCCTGACACCAACGACAAATAATTTTCTATCAGCAACAACAGGACGCCAACGATGCTAATTCTAACAGAGCACACGCTCCAGAGAGAGGTGAGTACAAAGTGCCACACGCAGTTAGACACACAGAGGAGGAAATATGGTTAAAATAAACAGTGAAAATGTTCAGGTTTGCGTTACAGCAGCCAGAGAATGGAAAGTTATGTTGGTATTTACTTTTTAAAGACAGTAGGTTTAGGCTGTGTTAGCTTTAGCATGTTAAGAATCTGACATAATGTTATAATGAACTAAGACAAGTTGAAAGTAGTGGTGTCACTAAACTAACATTTCAAACTTGATGTTGATACTAAGGAATAGACTCGATACTCGATACCGATTCTGATACCGCGAAGATAATAAAATGATTTCAATATTAGATCATTGTACGTACTTTCTATCATATTACCATGAAGTCTTCTGTGTAATCCTCAGTGGTCCAGTAGGTTCCATTGTGGTCCACGGGCGTATACTAGTCTATGTGCTCTTATACTTGTTCTGACAGAGCTCAAGATCATTCTAAAGTCATTCACGAAAGGTTCTTTTATGTCCTTTGAATGCTTAAATGAGTACTTACTTGTGTTACTAGTTTTAATATCTGATTTTTGTATTGTAAAGTAGGTGTGGGTGGGTGTACTTAAATAATAACTTGCTATCTTTAAACAGGCTTGATGACTTTGTGTCATGTTGCAATATATCATTTCATTGTCAAATAAATAAATACAATGATTAAAATCCTTTGAAACAGGATCCCAGTAACACCAGAATTCTCCCAAGAAGAGCCAACAAAGAAAGAGAGTAATATCGGTCGTCCCCACACGAGGGCAGTAGAGAGCATTCTCAGAAGTGAAACCGTAAAACCGAGACTCAGAGAGACACCAGAAGAGGGCAGTCTTCCCCCACACAGCGGTGTTTGTACTGGGCTTTACCTGCGGAGCTGTGCCCAGGAAAAGGTCCCACAGCCACCAAAATAAGCCAGATGCCCTCTCCGGGCTTCCTTCAGGTGACTGCAACCATTAACAACACCAGCTCAGCATCATGGGTCATGTGATCAACAATTATATATTTTGTTTTTGTGGATTTTAAAGGTACAGTATCTAACTTGCACTCAATCCACAATCACAACAGAAGCTGAGTTTCTAGAGCCTTAACCTGCAGATAGAGGTACATCCAAGTTTGTCTCATTCTCACTTTATGTTCAGGCCTCATGCGAAAGCTCAGAACCTCCAGAATTCCCTGTCTAAGCTGCAGAGGCTGCACTAGCAGGACTATACAACTGGATTTCAGCATTGAAACTGGCAACCCAAATGAGTGACTCATGTGATGCTCATTCTCTTTTCTGATTGGATACTTGTCCAAATTATAACATAAACAGTTTCAACATCATATCAGATGTGTTTGTATTTAAAAATAAATCAGCATTACAGTTGTTATTAGCCAAAGTCATATTTGATTCAACCATGTCTAGCTCATATCTGGGAACACAGATGGGTCATGTGCTTGAAATGTATAATCAAAATCTTATGTACTACAACATATCCCTGATCTCTTGGAAATTCAAACCGCAAATGTTCAAACAACACTTAAACTACTTGTTATGAAGTAAACAAACAAAATGAGATGAAAAACAAAACCAATGGAAGAAAAAATTCATGAACTTTAAATCAGCACAGGCCTGATTTAAAGCTGTGAAAAAGGGGTTATTTGTGAGATAAAGTTAAAATGTGTGCTTCTTTTCTTTAGTATAATGATGATCTTATCACATGCACAAGACTGGGTTTGTTTAATGTTCCACCATGCATCTTATTGAACCACACATTTTACAGGAGGCATGACAGAGCGCCACTTCAATACTGCAAATGTAGCACTGAAGTAGTAGTAGTAGTAGTAGTAGTAGTAGTAGTAGTAGTAGTAGTAGTAGTAGTAGTAGTAGTAGTAGTAGTGGTAGCTTCTAACAGTGCTGTAAAGGCAGTGTTTTTTTTAGTCCTGTAGGAGAAGTAGTACTACTAGTGAAACTACTACATGACCCTGGGCTAGGATGTCAAAGTAGTAGTAGTAGTAGTAGTAGGAGGAGGAGGAGGAGGAGGAAGAGTAGTAAGAGTAGTAGGAGTGGAGTGGTTGGAATAGTAGTAGTCAGGGTTTGGATTTAGCAGTTGTAGCAGTAATAGTAGTAGTCGTAGTAGTTGTTTTAGTAGTAGTAGTAGTTATGTTGTAGCAGTAATAATTTCTAGTCATGTAGTAGTAGTAGTACAGTGCAGTAGTAGTTTTTGTAGTGCAGTAGCAGTTTTTTAGTAGAAGTAGTAGAAGTAGTAGTTGTAGTATTAGTAATAGTTTTTTTGTCGTGTAGTACCTGAGTATCCGGTGGAGTGGGGGTCGCTCTCTGTTCTGCTGTTGACTGTTCCACAGTGAGCAGCTCTGCTCCTGAAACCTTCAACACGTCCTCCTTCACATGAACTATCTGGATCTCTCCCTCCTCCTTCTGAAAAACAAATATGAAAAATAGAAATTATTATTAATGCTGGGTCATATTTGATCGATTTAGAGGAGCATTTTTTATTTTGTTTTAACATATTCGTTATTATACTGTATGTGTTGTATATGGGAATAAGAAATTGACCAAATCTCACCTCCTCAGATGTAGTTTTCTCGGGTGGAGGCTGAAATGGAGATTGTCGGGGCTGGTCAGGCTGCTGGATAAACAGAGCCGGTACTTTCTGAAATAGAATTCAAGTTTATAGTTAGTTAATTAGTCTCATAAGAGAAGAGATGCTTGTTACACTATTCATTTACAATAAAAAAAAATAAAAATAGCCATATGTTTTACGATTTATAGTTTCAGAAACAAATATTAAACCAACACTTTTAAAATACACTTTTATTTTAGACTATTTTTGTCTGAAAAGTTACACAATGGGGCTTTATTTAAATTATAGGTCCTGTGGTCATTAGTCATGCATATCCATATGTGTTTTGAACAAAACTGATCCTTTATTGTTGCTTTATTAAGTCGTACCTTCTGCAGTTCTTGGAGCAGAATCTGGAGATGGTCCACCACAGTGAACACAGTCAGGGTCTCCTCAGCCTTTTCTGGCAGCTCCAGGTGAGGTTTGCTGCTCTGAATATCGTTTATGGTCCTCTGCATCGCTTGGATCTTCTGCTCCACGATCTGAACCCAGTATTAGAGAATTAATTAATTATTAATTAATTGATTAATTACTTATGTGTCAGACACTGGTATTATAAAGGCCAGTTACTGTTTTGCTCAAGGACATACTGTTAAAACTTCACTAAATTTAATGCAACTTGGCTTTCACTATTTAGGTAATATAACATCCTCTTTGAGAGTTGAATGTCCCTGTGTCTTCATGGGGTCTTATTCTGTGTTCTAGTTTAGACCTCTACAAACATGTTCTGAAAAACTTCTTGGATGAGTTCAGCAGTCTTCACTCAAATGCTCCTGAACTAATAATTCAATAATAATAATAATCATTTATCTAATAAATTCTAGTAAATTTTATAATTGTGAATCTGACCTTCAGTCTTCGGACTTTGGGGCTGGGTAAACTCTCAGGAGAAGCCAGGAGCTGTTTAATTTCAGCCACATCGTTCTCCATTTTCCTCACTTCACCTTCAATGGCCTCCACCTCCTGCAACAACAAACAAACAAACAAACAAACATGTCACATACACTGTCACAGACAGACAATGTAAGACATGTAAAAACACTTTTTTGTTCAGTTTTCTTTTGTAACAGCAATAAAACTTTTTGATTATTTATTTTGGGCTTATCGATACTCAGACACCAGATATGGCCACAGGCGTTGGAGTGTCTTGCTCAAAGACACAACATCGGTCAATACAGGCCAACACTGGGATTGAAACCTTTGAGTTTTGCTCTCAGTAGATAAATAAAGGTGACTGTAATTTAAGTTTTTGATCAGACTCACAGCAGCAGCGTGTTGGAGTTTGGTCAGAGGAGCGGTGAAACTGTCTTGGACTTGCGCCACCTCTCGGTCGGCCTCCTGGAGCTCGAGCTGCAGAGAGCTGACGTCACAGACCTGAGACATCTCCTCCAGAACCAGAGTGAAGCCCTGAAGAGTGGAGCGGATCTGAGCAGAGTCTCCCAGTACCACCTGAAGAGAGAGAGAGAGAGAGAGAGAGAGAGAGAGAGAGAGAGAGAGAGAGAGAGAGAGAGAGAGAGAGAGAGAGAGAGAGAGAGAGAGAGAGAGAGAGAGAGAGAGAGAGAGAGAGAGAGAGAGTGAATATTGATGGATTGTGCTTACTCAGATTATTTTATTATTATTATTTTATATTTATTTTATTTATTTATTTTGAAAGGGCGCATGCATCTGACTGTTGTGTGTGTATGACTTGAAGGCGTGCAAGTGCGTGCACGTGGCTGTAGTGTGTTTGTGCATGTGTTACCTGGAGTGAGCGTGCACGTGGCTGTAGTGTGTTTGTGCATGTGTTACCTGGAGAGCGTGCACGTGGCTGTAGTGTGTATGTGTTACAGAGCGTGTGTTTGTGTGTGTGTGACATGTGTGTACCTGGAGAGCGTGCACGTGAGTGTGCGTGTACGTGGTGTAGTGCATGTGTTACCTGGAGAGCGTGCACGTGGCTGTAGCATGTGTGGTGTAAGTGGCTGGAGCAGCTGGAGCGTGCAGCAGCCATGTTTTAGCCTCATTGATCCAACTCTTGGAGCTGTTGATCATCTCCTGGTGCTCCTGGAGCCAAGTGTGGATCTAGAGAAAGACAGAGACAGAATCAATGAAAACAAATGAAGCTCCAGCTTCACAAGGTGGAACAGAGTGTTTCCCATATGAGAGAAGAACTTAGCAGGGTTTTTGTGTTAAACATGTGTGAATGAAACAAAACACAGCTCCAGGTCTGTTTGTGATGAGGAAACAATATTAGAACAGAGATCAGAAAATAAAGCACTATGGAGCCTTTAAACTGGTTGTGTCTTGATCTAAACTCTCTGCCCGCATGTTAAATACTACATTTGTCTGCACCTTGCTGAGCACTGTGGTCCTCTGCTGCTCTGCCTGTTTGGCCAGCTGTGAGTGAATCTGTTGAACCTCCACCAGACGCTCTGTGAGCACCAGCGCCTCCTGTGGTTTGTCCAGGTCCTGCAGATCTGCCTCCAGAGCAGCCAGACAGGAGTGCCACACGTCCAGCTCATCCCAAACACGCTACAGGGAGAGAGGGAGTCACTGGGATTGTTGTAGTAGATTTTAAATAAATAATAAGACAGAGCTTATACACATAATCGTCTCTTTATACTTTGCCCTATTTCTCTCTGTTGCACTGACCTTCTGAGTGATCTTGGCCTCGGCTGCAGTGGGGCTCTTCTGGTCCAGTCTCTTCTGGAGCGAGTGAAGTCCTGACTGGATCTCGGACAGTTTGGCGCCGAGTCTGTAAACAGGACCACTCTTCTCCACTGCCTCATTCACCTGGAACCGAACAAAAACAATGAGTTAGCCACGTCATTTATACAAGCCTGGCTAAGACAGACAGAGAATATACAGAGAAGTTATTAGCTAATACAGATTCACGCTGGACGGATGTCGCCCGCACTGTTGGTGCACACGAGGTGGTTTACCTTCGGTTCGACTTGTTGCATGATTTGATTGGCGTCTTGTAGCAGAACCTCGATCTCACTCGGGATCAAACCGTCTGGCTCTGAGTATTTTGTTTGTATAGAGTTTGTGATCCGCTGCAGCAAAGCCTTCTGGGTAAACAGTTGGAGAAGCGCCTCCTGAAATCAGACATATGCATTACTGTTAATTATCTTATCTACCTAATTTTCTCTACTATTAACTTGTACAATAACTCTTTTGTCTTTTCATTAAAACACTACACTAGTCTATATCTCTAAATCAGTAAACCTCACTTGTTTCTGTAGCCCTGAGCCTGTTTTCATTGGGCCTTTTTCTCTGTGCAGTGACTGTTTCTCAGTACAAAAACTTTGAATGAATGGTTCTTTGGCTTTTGGCCCATAACGGTTTAGTCCCCAGACCCCAGAACCACTCCAGGCTGAAACATGACCCCACATTATCATCCCTGTATTCTGGGTTCTCTCTCTGTCGCCCCTGGACCCTCTAAGCAGAAGCTTTCACTACAATCTTTTTGTACCAGTGTAAAATGATATGCAGGTGTCTGTACAGGGCAGGTCGCTGAGTTCACTGTACAACTGTGGGCAAGTTTTATGACAATCGGCCAAAACGTTACAAATCTGTACATGGACTAACTTAAGCTCTGAATTGGTAGTATTCAGTTACATTTACTTTTTAGAGAAATTTTACTTTACTTTTCTTGCTGCACACTTAAACTTGTGTAAGTTTACAAATGATAAAGCTTTATATGGACAATATGAAATGATTTGAACACTTGTGTTGCACCAATCTTCCAGATATGATTTAGTTTTTCAAAATTTTAGGCTTTGGCTAAATTAGGCTTTGAAAATACCAGAATTTGTGCATTATTTATTTGTCCTTCCAATGACACTTGAAATTAGAAATCAGATGTTACATCCTGACTGTTACTCTTTAAGTTCCTCTTACATGAGTTGTAGTTTTCTCAAATACTTTTTTACTCTTAATCCAGTAATTTCTTTGACCACTACTTTGTACTAAGTAACAAAACTCTTACTTGGGTACAATTTTGGCTACTTTCCCAACTCTGTGAATAAAGAAAGCTATCAGTATATTGGGAATAAGGGAATCTTCATAGAAATTTCAAAAATCATGCATCATGTATCAGAATTAAAATATTTAGGTGAAAAATGTATGAAACAATTCATTTCAAACATAAAAAAATTAAAAAATAAAAATAAATAAAGGAAATAAACAGAAGAACTTAAGTATGACATTACTTAATTGAACTAGAATAAGATACAACAGTTTGGTCCACACATTGTATTGTTCTATATTAGTTCTGGAGGACATTTCTGACCTGTATCTCGTGGGCGTTGCCGGTCTCAGGCTCTGACAGCAGGTGGTCTGCAGCCTCCAGCCAAATCTTCAGCCTCTGCAGCTCCTCTCGGCTCCTCTCTCTCTCCTCCAGCTCTGAACGAGAAGAGGCCAGGCCCACACTGCTGCGCTTACTCACACTGACAGAAGTTACAGAGGAAAATGTTAGCAATATTACTATTAGTTTTACCCCAGTCATATAAAAGCAACTCTTATGGTCACAAATATTACTCCTTCCCCCTTCAGTTTTTAAAAATCTTCATCACCTGTTGTATCTGGTCTGCATGGCCTGGAGCTGTTGACAGAGGGGAGTGGGCGGGGCTTGTTCAAGGTGGGCGGGGACTTCAAGCAGGCGTGCGACTCTGAGCTCGAGAGCGGAAAGAGCGCGGTGTTCACAGTCCAGTCGATCCTGATACTGCTCCCAAGACTGGACCCCATCATGAAGCTCTTCTGTACCCATCGTCAGGGGGGAGAGAGAGGGCAGCTCCGCCTCCACCTGAGACAGGACTGACTCCGCCTTCTCCACCTGTGAGAGAGGGCAGTTTTACGTTTTCATAACTGAAAAGGAACCTGTTCAAAGTTCATTTAAATGTGTACAGAGG